ACTTGTCGCCCGTAATTCCGGCATCGATTTCGGGTATTACGACGGCTACAACACGAGCATTTTGTCAAATGTTGGTGCGTAGGGCAGTACTGGGAATATATATATATATATATATATGAACCTTCCAAGGAAACCTATGCGGAGTCCACCTGAGCGTGCGCGACGCCGTTGATGGATAGCGTGAGCTTCATCCATCTTCCGTAGCTGTGTTGGCTGGAAACAGGCAGCGGAGTCACCGGGCGGTGCCGCCCGTCTGTGGCCGCTGCCGAGCCACTCTGACTACTGAAAGACTGCCGCGCTCGCGCGGCCACTTGCAGGGCCACGCTCCGACGACTGATTCTGATCAGCCTCGCTGGCAGCCTTGGCGGGTTGAGGGGAGCGAAGACCTGGCTGGGAGACGAGGATCCCGGGCGCGGGTCGCCCCTCTCCCGCTTAGTGGCTGGCGAGGAGCCCGATGGAGCGGGCAGCCCCAGCTGCCGGCGGCTGGCCCTTTTCGAGAGGAGCCTGGCTCGACGCGGCGCTGAACGACGAGCTGGTGGCGGGGCTGCCGCCGAGGGCTGGAGCACGGGTCCTGGCGCGGGCCTAGGACGACCCAGGGGCGCCGCAGGGCGTCGAGATGCTCGAGGTCGAGGTCGCCCACCAGGCGGACACCATCGGCAGATTCATCAAGGCCCGGCAGGAGGGCGCCAGCGACACGTACTTCTCATCGTAGGCAGCCTCCAGCGGGCAGCGGGGCGCACATCGCGCGGCCACGGTCTTCCACCTCTGCAGGTGCAGCGCCAACAAGTGCGGGACGATCGCTCCAGCTGGCGCTGTGGTCGAGCACTTGGACATGTGGCAGGTGATGGGCCCCAGCGGCGTGGCCCGCGAGCGGGCGAAGCTCATCTGCCCAGCAGCGGATCCTGGGGCGCCTGTGCGGACCGCCTCGCCCTCGGCCGAGCCATTGCCTGGAGAGCTCGGCGGCTGGCCGCTCGGGGATGGGGCAACAAAGTCGAGGAGGAGCCTCGCGGGCCCCCGCACATGTGCGCCCGCGAGGTGGAGGGCACCCCGACCCCGGGCGGTCCAGGAGAGGCGGGCCCGCTCGACCAGGAGATCGCCGGGCTCGAGGAGACCGCCGAGGACCCCGCGCTCGAGGCGCGGCTGGCGCGGCTGGAGGGCAGGGCAGCTCGTGGCGTGCCGAGGCAGGGCACGCCCAAGAACGCTGCGCGCCCGGCAGGAGCCATAGGCGAGCGCCTGGCACAGGAGGTTGCTGGCCGAGCCGCCGCTGCTGCCCCAGCGCGCACTGGCGCCTCGAGGAGGAGGAGCAGGCCAGCAGCGGCCGTGACCACGGCACTCCGGGACCGCGACGACGACGACGTCGAGGACGGCGCGGAGAGCGACACAGAGCGCCTTGGGGGCTGCGACCGCTACCAGGGCGTGAGCTGCAAGCGCGACTTGTTCGGCTGGATCGCTCGACAGCGGCCCGACGCTCTCCTCGTGAATGGGCTTGGCCACCTGGGCAGCCAGTTCACTCAGCAGTTGTCCGCAGGCGAGGCCGACCTGCTGGCCCCAGGCGTCACACAGTTCCTGTACACGGGGCTCTTCGTTGCTCACCCGCCGCGGACGCTGGGGGCAGTCGAGAGGCGGGTCCTCCGCCCGCCAGGGCTGGCGCTCGACGGCATCGTGCGCAGGGAGGTCATCAAGACTGCGGATCTGGTCATGCTGAGGTTCAAGGCGCGGTCGATGGGCATCCGCGACGGGAACTGGCAATCGGCGCGATGGCTCACGCTGGTCTCGCAGGAACAGCTTCCGTCAGGCACCTCTCTGGGCGAAGAGAACGCTGCCGAGAAGGTCGAGGCCCGGGAGCTGAAGGTCGCCGAATTCCGCCAGCGACTTGCAGACCGCAGGCCGGGCTGGGGGCCTGGCCGGGAGCCGTCTCCGTTGCTGGGGAGGACGGCACCTGCAGGCCATGGGCGCGCGGAGGCGCGCCGCCCGCCCCTCTGCTCCCGGGACGCCAGTCTCAGGATCGGCCAAGGCGATGAGGATCCTTGCCGAACGAGTCCCAGGCGACGTTCCCGCAGCTCTCCGCGCCGGGAAGAAGCCGCCAGCAGCGCGGAGGACCAGCTGCAGTCCCACGCGGGCGGTCCAGCTTCTGAGCGACTTCGAGGGGGACCTCGACGCAGCTGCCGCCGCCCGCGTGCCACCAGCGGACGCGGCTGCGGGCCGGGGCTTCGCGCAGCACAAGGCGGCCCACCCGAGGCGCGAGGGCGAGACCCAGGCGGCGTGGAAGGCGCGCGTTGGGAGGCCGCCGGCTGCCAAGGGCCGCGGCGAAGGCAAGACGGGGAAGAGCCGCGGCACAAGCGCTGCTCGCAGGACAGCCCGGGTTCAGGCGTGAGGGCCGACGCTGCGGAGGCCGCGGCCTCGCGCACGCCCCCGCCTGCCCTCCGCCCGCCTGAGCGGCAGCTGCGCGGCAGCTCGCAGCCGCGGCGGTGGCGCCAGATGCCAGCCGAGGTGGGCACAGGTGTCAGCTCCAAGTTCAGGCCCCCTCTCGCGGTCCACGAGACGGTGCACGGTTCGCCAGGGGCGATCGGGCGGTATGTTTGTGAGATGTGCACTTCGCCAGACCCCACGGCCAGCTTCGCGCGGCTGCGCGAGGTGTTGCCGTTACCGTTGCCCGAAGCCCCACTCTTTGAGAGGCACCGTGCCGCCTGGTACTTGCACCAGCAGCTGTCGGAGACCTGCGAGGTGGACGCCGCCACGGCGCTGGGGCGGGCCCTGCTCGTGGACTTCAGCCTGAACTACTCGTACATGGGGCACATGCGTTGTCCAACCAACGCCGCAGTGCGGCCCACGGCAGGTCTGGTCAGTGCGCTCGGCATTGTGCAGGAGGGGTGTGCGAACTTCGCTCAGGATCCTGCCGCAGCGTTCGAGCTCCCGGACTGGGACCGGGTCATCGCGTCGAAGACCGTCTCCCACAGGGGCAAGGTGATGTCCCGCGCCCCGCCGCTCTCGCTTGCAGGCAACATGCCAGGCCTCCCCGCGCAGGGCGACCCCGCATCGGTCAAGGCGGTCGACCTCGCGGACGCTCAGGCGGGCGCCGGGCGTGCCGGCCCCACGCTGGCTTTGCTCCCTCAGGATGAGTCGCCTGCCGAGGACCCGCAAGCGGCGAACCTGGTCACGTCCAAGCAGGAGTGGAACCGCATCGGGACCAAGCTTGTCAAGCTGGGGCTGGCTGCGGCGATCGCCGACGACCGCCTCTTCAAGGTCGGGAGCCGCAGGGTGCTCGCTGGGGCGTTCGGGGTCGCCACGGGCGGCACGCGGTCACCCGGCCAGGCGTGCGTCCAGCGCCTGATCATCAACATGGTCTCGGCCGACAGCTACCAGCGCATCATGGAGGACGGCATTGGGACCCTAAGTGCATCGCCCTCGGGGGTCGCCGTCCCGCTCCCAGAGGGGCACATGCCGCTCGGGTCCTCAGATGACCTGGCCTCCGCTTTCTACGGCTGCGAGCTGCCCGAGGCTTGGCAGCCACACATGGCCCTCGCAGAGGCGATCCCAAACGAGCTCATCGGTGTGCCGGGTCCAGGGAAGACACACCTCGCGCTGCTCGTCTTCCCGTTGGGCTGGATCATAGCGGACACGGAGTTTCAGCACTGCCACAGGCGCCTCGGGGGCGGCGCTCGCCCCCTCGCTGCGGGGTTTCCTGCGGATCTCGAGTGGCACAGGGACCGCCAACATCCGATCAAGTCGAAGGAGCTCGAGCAGCAGTGGGTCCAGTACTGCATCGACGACTGGGACCATGGCGAAGGGGTTTCCAGCGCGTTGGTCGCGGAGCTCATCGGCACGGTGAGCTGCGCCCCGGAGAAGCAGAGGGCCGCCTACGGCGGCTCGGGGACCAGCGACGCCCCCGGCAAGGTCAAGCGCCGCGCGCTGGTCCTGGTGCAGATGGGCGCAGGTCTTGACGGGGCCGTCGGCCAGGTCGGAGTCACGGCCGAGAAGCTGCACCGGGCGCTCGCGCTCATCCTGTGCGGCATGGGCAGACAGGGCCTCTCGACGCAGGGCATGCTCATGATCCTGGGCAGGTGCGTCAGGGCAGCGGAGTTCAGGAGGCCTTCTACGGGGTTCCTCAACAGCGTGGGGGCTGCTAGGTGCTGGACGCGACCGCAGGCTGATCCCCTTGGAATGTGCGACGAGCTCTTGGGCTTCGCGATGGCGCTGCCGCTGGCATACACCGACCTCCGCGCAAAGATCGTCATTTGTGACATCGCGACCGATGCCAGTGAGCGCGCTGGGGGCATCTGCCACACGGCTGGGCTCTCGGCGCAGGGCGTTGCCTGCGCGAGGGGAGGAGCTTCAGCAGTGAATTTGCGGCCTGATGCAGTTGCGGCTCCTGTGCGTGGAGCGCGGTGGCGCCCTCGCATCGTTCTCATCGAGCTCTACGCAGGCGGTGCTGGGGCCGCGGTGGAGGCCTCCAGACTCCCGATCGACATGATCGCCCCCGTCAGCTGCGAGGTTGAGCCCGCTGCCTGGCGACTGGTGCGTCGCCGCTGGGCGGGCGTGACCAAGCTTGGCAACATCGAGGCCGTCGACACGGTGCGGTTCACGGAGATGCTGAAGGGTTACGCGCGGGACGCTGACCGGGTCGTCTTGAGCGCGGGAAGCCCGAGCCAAGATCTTGCAAGCATCAATGTCGCGGGGACCGACCTAGAGGGGTCGAGGCCGAAGCCCTTCTTCCCGGTCCCCGAGCTGACGCAGGCAGCGGAGGTTGCCTGTCCTGAGCGCACCATGGTGTTTGTCGAGAACGTGTCCATCATGACCCTGGAGTCGAGGGCGGAGTTCTCCAGGGCGCTGGGTGTCACGCCCGTGTTCCTCGGGCCCAGGTGTCACGCCCATGTCAAGCGGCCGCGCCTGTACTGGTGCTCGTGGCCCGTCACGGCGTTCACGGCGTCCGACGTCACCGACGAGACCAAGGGCGTGAGGGAGGCCGCGAGCTTCGAGGTTTTGCTTGTGGTGGAGAGGCTCCCACTGAATGCCTCGGTCTTGGAGGGCTGGTCGACGCTGGACCCAGAGGCGGACCTCCCGTGTTTCACGAGGCCGATCCCGGGACGCCACCCGCCGTTCCGGCCCGTGGGCCCCGACTGCGCCTCGGTGCTGGCCGCGGGGCGCTGGGCTGCCGACAGCTACCGCTACCAGGTCGACAACTACGGGGACGGCAGCCTCATCTGGGACGCGAGGCGTCAGCGGGGCCAACTGCCCGTGCCTGAGGCGAGCTGGAACGTGATCCCCGATTTCCAGCAGCCAGGCTTGCGCTGGCAGCGGCCCAGGCACATCTCAGCGCTGGAGCTGGAGGCTGCGGTGGCTGGAGCACGCTGGAGGTGCCGAGCAGGTGAGAGCCACCGCTGCCGCTGCCTGCCCATTCTGGATGCCCAACCGTTCACGGCAGTCAGCACCAAGGGCAGATCGAGCGTGAGGGCTTTGCAGCCCGCGCTCCGCCAGCTCAACTCCCTGCTCCACGCGACGGCCAGGTACCCGCTGTACAAGTACTGCGACACCGTCGACATGCCCGCCGACACGCCGCCCCGCTGGCGCTTCGGCCGCCGCTGCCCCGCTGCCAGTGCTGCCGCCGGCGAGAGCCAGGAGAGCCGCCCCTGGCAAGCGGGTAGCGCAAGCACCAGCAAAGGTGAGCCGGGTCACGGCCCAGGCGATGGCGCAACGTGCTGCAGCGAGGTCCCAGCCGCCGAGGGGGCGTTGGTCACGCCGCTCACCCTGCGGCGGCATCGTGCGGCAGTCGAGGAGGTCGTTGTTTTCTGGATTCAGGAGCACCGGCAGCCGCAGACGCCCGCTCAGGTCGACGCTGGCGTGGCCGCCTTCATCGGGAGCCGTTGGCTGAGCGGAGAATCTCTAGTTGAACTTAATAATGCAATTGTTGTCGCTTCGCGAATCCCCACCAGCCCATCCAGAAACGATGCCCAGAGGAATTGCCTCGATCAGAGAAGTGGGCAGCACACAGAGGAAGCCATTATGAGACATCTTGGGATATCTTGAGCCATCTTGGAGGTCATTTTGGGCTCTCCCAGACGCTCTTGGAGTCATCTTAATCCGTGCCCCCCCCCAAGAGGCCTCCATGTGGCTAAAACCTGTGTAGAATCAATGATTAGGCATTCTCGCCGAGGCCTCTTGGAGCATCTTGGGTGCATCTGGGGGGGCTCTTGGGGCCTCTTGGGGGTCTCTTGGGGGCCTCCGGGGGGCCTCTTGGGGGCCTCTTGGGGCCATTTTGGGGCCATCTTGGGACCTCTTGGGGCTTCCTGGGCGCTTCTTGGGGCCATCTTGGAGGAGTCGATCAAACAAGAGGGGGGGGTTTAATTAGCGCCCCCCCTCGGAAGCCCCTAAAATCGCCTCTTGGACCCCTCTTGGAACGCTCTTGGAGTGCTCTTGGGCGCTCTTGGGGCCGTCTTGGGGCTCTTTTGGGGCTCTCTTGGGGCCCTCTTGGGCCATCTTGGAACCATCTCCAGGCCTCGGATGGCCATCGGAAGCGAAAAGGCGAGAAAGCAAAAATCATTGATTTTCCTTAGGTTTTGGGACGATTTTGGCCTCTTCGGGGCCTCCTTGGGGAGCTGTTTGGCCACTTGGAGTTATCTTGGGGCCGTCTTTGGGCTTCTTGGAACCATCTTAGGAGCCATCTCGAGCGATCTTGCGCTATCTTGAGCCATCTTGGAGCTCATCTTGGGTTCTCTGAGGCGCTCTTGGAGCCGTCTTGGGCCATCTGGGACGCTCTAACTACCCGCGGCCCCCCCCGTCCAGGTCCAGGGGAGGGGGTAGGGGGAGGGGTAAACCCCTCCCCAAGGGGGAAGAGGGAGGGGTGGAAGAGGATCTGCTCTAGACCACCTACGCCCAGAGGGCTGGTGGGATTCCAGGCATCATGCGCACTTTCCCGCCTGTGCGAGGGCACCTGTGGGACAGCTGGCGCTGGCCAAACGGCAACGCCTGGAGTCAGCTGGGCGCGCGCTGCCGATCAGTCCTACAGCAGCGTTCGCAGGTGCATTGGCGGCCGCGGGCCAGCGTGGCGCTGCGGCGGTGCTGGCAGCAGGCTACGACGCTTTCCTCCGGCAGAGAGTTGACCTCGCTCGCGTGGCCTGATGTACAGCTGTATCCAGTCCGCCAAATGACCGCGCTGCAGCTGTGCAACACCAAGAGCCAGCATTAGACTGGTGCCCGTCAGTTCGTGCTCGTGCGGAGCGGTGTAGCGGTCGCCCTCCTTGCCAGAGCAAAGGCTCAGGCGCACGGACAAGACTAATGCCTCGAGATGGGGCCAAGCAGTTTCATGCCACTTTCGGCCGCGTACGTGAGCTGCTGGAGCTGCAAGATGCCAAGCTCACTCTTTACAGCTGGCGTCAGGAGGCGCCTGCGCCGACTTCCGCAGCCACAGCTCCATGAGCAGACGCTGCTCCGAGGCAGATGGCATCGGCGCGCACGGCCCGCTTCTACGTCCATGACGCCGTCGCCGAAGCCACTGAATTAAATCTCTCGCCCGCGCAGCGGAGGCGCTGCAACCTGCTCGCGCGTGCCTGCGAGCAGAGGCGAGATGGACTGTTCTTGCTTTGAGCTGCCTGTCTGTTTGTCCCGCCCATCCTCCACCTTTCTTCCCTCAGGCAAGAAGGAGCGGCTTTTGCCAGGGTAGGGACCGTGGAGAGAGCTAGGGGGTCAGGGGTTGGTGACGTTTAACCTCCCGGCGGGGCAAGGGCCCAGCGCGTCTGGGACGCAGCGCGGGTGCTTAAGCGCCACGGCTGTGCCAGGCGGGTTGGGAGGCCCTTGGTGGCCGCTGATGGGACGGGACCTCTCCCAACTCCTGGGTTAACCCCTGAGTAGCCCCCAGAGGTCCTGGCCTGACAAGCTCCCTGGCGGAGTGCACAAAAACAGGTGAGAGTAGCATATATGAACCTTCCAAGGAAACCTATGCGGAGTCCACCTGAGCGTGCGCGACGCCGTTGATGGATAGCGTGAGCTTCATCCATCTTCCGTAGCTGTGTTGGCCCACCCACAGACAGGGGGCAGCATTGCTGCCGTCTCGCGCGTGGCCGTGCCTGCCTCCGCGCGAGTTTTTGCCAGGACGAGAGCTAGGGGGTCAGGGGTTGGTGACGTTTAACCTCCCGGCGGGGCAAGGGCCCAGCGCGTCTGGGACGCAGCGCGGGTGCTTAAGCGCCACGGCTGTCCAGGCGGGTTGGGAGGCCCTTGGTGGCCGCTGATGGGACGGGACCTCTCCCAACTCCTGGGTTAACCCCTGAGTAGCCCCCAGAGGTCCTGGCCTGACAAGCTCCCTGGCGGAGTGCACAAAAACAGGTGAGAGTAGCATATATATATATATATATATATATATATATATATTGTTGGTAGAAACGCACATCACCCGCATGCTGCACGCCATTGAAAAAGAAAGCGCACGTTTCGGGCTTAACCTAAACAAAACAAAATGTGAACTCATGGTCATTGGACAGCCAAGTCGAATAAAATACCGGGATGGCACACATGTTCCGTCCGCGGAGACTGTAAAGTATTTGGGCTGCTCCCTTGACAGCAAAAACGACGTCGGTAAAGAGATCAGCGCACGCATCCGCAACTGCTACCAAACGATGCAACGACTGGATGCATTCTGGCTGCACAGCGATTGCTCGGTCTCACAAAAAATACAAGTATTCAGCGCCGTATGCAGATCGAAGTTGTTGTACGGCCTAGAAACCACTCAACTGACCCCCGGGCAGACACAGCGGCTCGACGGCTTTCAATTGAAAGGCCTACGCAAGATCCTTGGGATCTCGACTACGTTCGGCCAAATGGCCCAGGGCCAGGACCGCACGAACACGAACGAGTACATCTACAGCCAAGCCCAAAATGCCCTCAATAGTAGGAGACCTCATAGGGCCCTCGAACGCTTCAGCGCCACGTACGACAAACTCAAGCTTGATCTGCTCTGCCGCCTGATCTCAGCCCCCGCGACGGACCCAGTCGCCTCCTGCACTTTCGACCCACATACGCTCAAGCCTTGGGACTATGGTCCCAAACGCGTCGGGAGACCAAGGAAGGCAGGCGAGTGGTACGAGCATACCGCAGACACCCTCTGGCGGACTTCGGTCGTGCCGCCCCGGCCATGGCTCGAAGACACAACGCTCGATCTCACATTGGCCTTTCATAGACTTCTCCTACGAGTCACGGCGTGGCAAAGGATGAAGAAACTCCACCCCTTGTTATATCGAGAGCGCTTTCCCCCACCGCCCGCTCCCCCAGCAGGGACACATGGGGTGGGGCTGCGCCTCGGCGACAGATGGATCTACGCAGGTTGACCACACTGCTCCCTCCGTTTTGCGACTGCGACCGCCTACGAGAAAAGAAAACAACTCTGGTCCGCCCTGCCTGGACGGCCCTTGCCCCCTCCTTCCCTCGTTGCCGCCTTGGGTCCGCCCCGTTCCCCCCCCCCCTTCCCTTTTCCCTCCCCCCCCTTTCCTCTCCTCCCCCTCCCTCCCTCCCCCCTTCCCTTCCCCCTTCCCTCCCTCCTCCCCCCTTCCCTCCCCCTTCTCCCCCCCCTTCCCTCCCCCCTCTCCCCCCCCCTGGGGGGGGAGCGGATGTTCCATAGGTGACCGTTTGATGATCCCGGCCAGAAGCCCTGGCCGCACGCTGCTAGCATAAATCGATATCCCGGCCGCAGAAATGACGACCGGCTACAGGAGGCCTCGCCTCCCGGCTGCCCGTGTATAGAACTAGGTCCGGAGTCCCTCCTCGGACTGGGTTCGCGGCAGCCGAGCCACGAGCAAATATATATATATATATATATATATACATATATTATATATATATATATACATATATATATATATAGTGAGAGAGAGAACTATATATATATATATATATATATATATATATACCTTCCCAACTTGGGCGTGCTTTGGATAGGTTGAGTCTTGGACGTCCGAGAGATCACCAATTTCGATCAAAGGCTGCCATACATCAAATAAGAATTCTCCGCCTGAGATTCCCCCAAGGCAGCACCTGAAGGAATGCCGGCTTGCGATGCGAACGGAATCAGCGACTTCCACGATGATAACGACGATAAGTCATTAAGCAATAGGAGGAAAAACCAGGAGAAGTTCGGCCAACAAACATTGATCAAATTCGGCTTAAATCCAATTCGACCACCGCCCGATACCGTCCAAGCGGGCTTGTAACCTGTTTACAAGGTCCGACTATATCACAATGCCGAATTGTGGAAAAGCATAAATGGTCGGCATTCAATGCACCAATATTTTGGGCTGCGGCGGGAGATGCCCGTGACATTCCGATCGTATCATGGCTGGAACGATTAATTGCTATCTTCATCACGGATTTTTTCACTATCTCGATGATGTCATAATTTCTTTGCGGTATGGTATGCGATACATTGGCAATTGGACAAACCATCATTATGCAGATGGTTGGCGGCACAAGATACGATGAACAAATTGTTTGATGGAAGTGCTTCAAAGAACACAATGAATTCCCGGTCGAAGGTTTACTCAAAACCGATGTCTGACGATCAACGTCTTGAACGAGCGACAGCACTGGTGGCATCGATTAAACTGAGCCACGCGGCCAAGGAGCTCACTTCTCCAACGCTGCAAGTTTGGATGCGACGCTTCAACATCTGCAAGACCCTGAGGTAATCTGAGGTACGGCCAAAAATTGTTGCTGAACATTTCCCTCCAAGGTTCTTGGAATCCCAGCCGGGTGCGCCAATTCTTTTGGATACGGCTCTCTTTGCACATGTAGTGCGCACATCAAGGAAGGGACTGATCACAGGCATATGAGGAGGCAAATATGAATAATATGAAATTTATTTCGACTGTTCGCGCGCGGTGGCGGATATTCTAACCACAAGGCCGGTGCCACGATCGATCGTGGACCAACACTTCTATGCATTGGTACGCACAACATTGGCAAACGCATGCAATATTGACCTACACATGGGAAAACTGACGGCATGGGGTCCTCCCGATGCCCGGTGCCCAGCAAATTTCGCAGCCGCGGCACCGGGAGTAGGGCGACGATATCTATACATATCCGCTGCTCCCGACTAGGCCAATCCTGGGCCCAAGAGCTGTGTATACGCCCTCCTGGCTTGGCCAGGGAGGCATATACACCGCTACTGGGCCCAGGATGGGCCTGGCCAAGAGCAGTAGATATGCATAGATCTCGTCGCCCCAGGGAGCTTGGAAATGCGACGTGGCGTTAGAAGGATTATATATATATGTATATATACACATAATAATGTATGTCTGTATGTCTGTATGTATGTATGTGTGTGTGTATATATATGTATATATATATATATATCTATATATATATAATATATATATATATATATATATGTAGATATATACACCTATATATATATGACCTTCTCCCACCCCAAACCCAGTTCGCCACGGCAGCGGAAGGGTGAAACAAAGCACGATCGCCTTCAGCGACGGGCCCGATGCTCCGGCTGAGCAGCAATAGAAGAATAGGAAAAGGAGGAACAGAGGAGGAAGAACAGGAAAAGGACGAGGGGAACCACACGACCTTCGAATCGGCCAGCCCGCAAAGAGGCTCTACTGGCGTCGTCGGGAGGTCACCGTAGGGGTTGTGCACTGTGCAGCTATACCTAATATGCCCCACCAACGGTGCAAGAGCCCTAAGGCCATCCCACGCTGCACCCGTGGATGGACCCTTTTTGTGTGGTCTTGCGCCAATTTTGGCATAAGCTCTACGGCTTGTTTCCCCCACCGGCCATAAGTTTAAACGGCCAGACATTGCAACGACCCTAACCCACTGCTCAAGACGTCGTGGTATGTTGCGTCATTTTCAACTTCCGCCCCGTCTAAAAATCTGCCCGCCGCATTGTTTGCGCTTCCTCTGGGTTGCCCATTTCTGGATATGGGTGAGATAACCGTTGCGTCGCAAAATAATGGAAGCCCACGGTCTACCCCCAAACACAGCACAACCAAATCCATTATTTGCATATCTGTCGGTTGTACTGGAATGTTCGTGCGATTGAGCATCCGTTCCACGTTGCGGTCTGGCACAATCCCTCCTGCTTCGGTGAATACTTGCCTCCACCCCACCACAACTTC